TTTACCACCTCAAGCTGCTCCAGGTATGACAATTTATTATTTTTTTAATTTATTTTTTATTAGGTCCCCCTCCCCCTGGTGCCCCTCATCATGCCCCGCCTCCTCCCCATGGTATGGGAGGTCCCCCTCCTCCTCCTCCCCATGGCATGGGAGGTCCCCCTCCTCCAGTACGTGGTTTGTTACCACCCCCAGGCCCCCCTGGTCCTCCTGTTGGGATACCTCCTCCAGCCCCCGGGGGTCTGCCCCCTCCAGCTCCCCCAGGACATTCCCTCCCTCCTGGTAATTTATTTATTTATTTTTAATATCTTTTTCTTTAAATAATAGGACTAATGTCACAATGAAAGGCCATTAACTATTCCTGGACTTTAGTAATTATTTCTTGTTAATATTATTTTGATAGGAATTATTTTAAATTGAGAAGTATCAGTTGTAATACCCTCAACCAGTACACACTACATTAACAATGTTCCTGTCAATACTTAAGTGTCCCTACAACCTTTGTCCATCCTGTGATGATGTGGTCAAGCTGGCCCAACATGTTGTCTTCTGTTCCTCTCAACAAGATAACAACATGGACTGTATTGCCTGTACATTTACTGGTATATAGTAGATATTTGAGTTAATTGCTCTCTTTGAGTGATAATTAAAGGATTGGTGAAGAATGCCAAACATTGCCACTCCTAAATTAGTGGCAATTAAGAAATCATACCATTATCATTCATCATGTTACAAGCAGTGTATGGTAATACAGTATGTACTAACACACATATGTACCTGAACACAGTTGATATTACTAATGTCAGTATATTGTATTATATAAAGATACAGCAGTAAACCTTACTTAGGAATGATAAGGAGTGGTAACACTGTGGTGGCTCCAATTAGTGAACATACATACAGTATTGTAACTGGAGCTATGGGGAGTCTACACATCAAAGGCCCTTCACTGGTTTCTGTATGTTACATACTTTGTGGCTTCTATGATGATATAAAAGTGGTAGACAGTAAGAGCTGAATTCATTGCAAGAGACAAACAACTAAAATCAGTTTATAATGGGATCAGTAGTCCTATTGACAAGAACTATACTAGTA